GAGTTGGTACCGACTCAGTGGCACCTAACAACAAACAACATACTTATGGATGTTGTAGCTTATAATTTCAACCAAGAGGGAAATACTCTTTATAACAAGGATCATTCCCATCCCACTGTATACAGGGTTGATAAGGATGGGCAACTTAGACATTGGCTACCTAAAATGGGGGAACTGTAAAGGCATGAATGGACTGGATTACAAGTTTTCCAGAAGGAGTTTCGATTCAGAGTGTGCAGGGAAAGGCAGAATCCCCACTGAGTTGTTTTCATCCTGTCTAGACAGGTCTGATGAAAGGAGATGGGGGACAAGATTTTTATGATTTAATAGTGATTAATTGTTATTGTGACTAATTGCGATAGTCGCAACTGTAAAGGTAGAAGTTTTGTAGCAAAAAGGGGTGAGTGTTCAATCTTACAGTCCCAGAGTGGAGGACCCTAGGATCATCGAGGGAGAAGGGCAGGAACAGAGTGTGAGACCCACCCGAGACTCAGTGATGCCAGAGAAGGAGACAGAAATGACGACATGGAGAGACAGAGAAGCTGAGGACTCTAGACTCATGTAGGGAGAGGGGATGTATGCTGATGTCCAGGGGGAAGGCTTTCAGGGTGTGCCTTTTGGCAATTTGAATGATTATATATTTCTGAGTGTTTTGGTGCACTTCCAAAAATAACCCCAAACAAACAAACAAAAAAACCCAGAGGGAATAGAAACAAGTACAATTGAATGATGAAGCATGTAGGAGATTGTAATCATTGCAATGAAATGAATAGGATAGGATGAGTGTAAAACTGATGTTCCCCCATGTAACCTATCAGTTGTTAAGTGCCATCAAGTTGGTTCTGACCCATAGTGACCCTATATAGGGTTTCTGAGGAGCGGCTGGTATTTTTAAACCACCAACCTTGTGGTTCAAAATGACTTTGCACTCCAGCACATTAATCCTCAGCACTACACCAGGACTCCTATTCATTGTAAATACCTTTTTTCAATAGCACAAACAGTGACTATACAAGTGCACCTCACCAGATAGATCACACATTAGATAAATCTGTTCCAGAAAACCTCTTTAAAGTGTCCAAAAACAAATAAATCAGTTAGAAGCCTGACCCAAACAATGGTATTTTCATTAGCCTCATATGCTTGTGAAAGTTGGACAATGAATAAGGACAACAATTAAAGATGATGGGTTTGTGTTATAGTGTTGGAGAAAAATATTGGAAGTATCATGGAGTTTCAACAAACAAATCTGTATTGGAAGAAATACAGCCAGAAAGCTTCTTAGAAGCCAGGATGGCAAGACTTCATCTCTCATACTTTGGACATGTTATCAGGAGGGTCTATCTCCTGGAGAACAACATTATGTTTGGTAAAGTGGAAGGTCACTGAAAAAGAGGAAGACCCCCAATGAGATGGATTGGCACAGTAGCAGCTGCAATGGACTCAAGCATAACAACAATTGTGAGGATGATGAAGGACTGGGAAGTTTTTCTTTCTATTGTCCATAGTTTCACTATGGGTTGAAACTGACTTGATAATACCTAATAACAAACAACAGCAATAAGCAAAATATTGAATGGCACAGGAAGCATCAAAAAAAAAAAAAAAAAAATGGAAGGAATACACAGAGTCATTGTGCCAAAACACATTTGTGGATGTTAAAACATTTCAAGAGAAAGCATATAATCAAGAACCAGTGGTATTGAAGTGCAGTGGTGAAGAAGTGCAAGATGAACTAAAGATATTGGTGAAAAGCAAGGTTCCAGGAATTGATGGCATACCAATTGAAAATTTCAGCAAACTGATGCAACACTGCAGATGCTTATTTGTCCATGCCAAGAAATTTGGAATACAGCTAGCTGGCTAACCAACTGGAAAAATTCCATATTTGTGTCCATTTCAACAAAGATGACCCAATGGAATGTAGAAATCATCAAACAGTATCATTAATGCAATATACAAGTAAAATTTTGTGGATGATAATTAAAAAATGGTTGCAACATTACATAGACAGGGAGCTGCCAGAAATTCAAGTGGGATTCACCAGAGGAAGTATAACAAGTGCTATCATTGCTGATGTCAGATTGAACTTGGCTGCAAGCAAAAAATAACAGAAAGATATTTAGTTGTGTTTTATTGACTATGAAAAGGCATTGGAATGTGTGGATCATGACCAATTAAGAACCTATACATCGACCATGAGGCAGTCATTCAAACAGAACAAGGGGATACTGAATGGTTTAAAATCAGAGAAAGTGTGTGACAGTGTTGTATCCTTTTAGCATTACTTATTCAATGCTGAGCAAATGAGATGAGATACTCATTATATGAAGAAGAGTGTAGCATCAAGATTGAAGAAAAACTCATCAACAACCTGTGATATGCAAACAATACAACTTGGCTTGCTAGAAGCAAAAAAGGACTTGTAATACTTATGATGAAGATCAAAGACCATAGCTTTATGTATGGATTGCACCTCAGTGCAAAGGAAACAAAAATACTCACAACTGGATCAATGAACAACACCATGACAAATGTAGAAAGTTGTAGAAGACTTCATTTTTGCCTGGGTCTAGAATCAATGCTAATGGAAGCAGCAGTCAAGAAATCATATGATGTATTGCATTAGGCAAATCTGCTGCAAAAGACCTCTTTTTAGTATTAAAAAGTAAAGATGTCAATGACTGATACTTGCCATGGTCACCTTACAATGTAAGGTAAACACTGGCCTGATGGTCAGTGGCTCAAACTCACCAGTCGCTCCTTGGAAACCCTATACTGGGTCACCATGAGTTGGAACCAACTCAACAGGATTTAACAACAGAAACAACATGTACATGTTAAAGCTGGACAGTGAATAAGAAAGACTACAGAACAATCGATGTATTTGAAGGATGGTATTGGGGAAGAATATTGAAAGAACCTGAGGATTGCCAAGAGAATAAACAAATCTGTCTTAAGAGTACAACCAGAATATTCCATGGAGGCAAGGATGGCAATACTTCATCTCTCATACTTTGGACATGTTATCCAGAGGGACCAGTCCCCGGGAAATGACATCGTACTTAGTAGCATGGAGAGTCAATGAAAAAGAGGAAGTTCCTCAACCATATGGATTGGTAAAGTGACAGCAACAAAGTGCTCAAACATAACAGTAATTGTGAGGAGGGTACAGAACCAGGCAGTGTTTTATTCTGCTGTGCATAGGGTCATTATGAGTTGGAACAGACTCCATGGCACCTAATAACAACAACAACAACATACATATACATACATCTATCTGAGCTGAAGAAAATGAAAACAAGCTCGTAAGAACCAAAATATGACCTTGAGTCTATCTCATTGGAGTTTAGAGACCATGTCAAGAACAGATTGGATGCTTTAGACCCTAACGATTGAAGGCTAGAAGAGTTGTGGGATGCATCTGAATTATGGTATTTGCGAAGCATATTGAAAGTATTATGGGCTGCCAGAAGAAAAAGCACATCTGTCTTGGAAGACTACAGCCATAGTGCTCCTTTGAAACGAGCATGTCAAGACTTCGTCTCTCATACTTTGAACATATTGTCAGGAAGAACCAGTCCCTGGGGAGGAATATCATGCTTAGTAAAGTGGAGGGTCAGGAAAAAAGAAGATCCCTGATGAGATGGGTTGACGCAGTGGCAGCAACAATGGGCTAAAAAATAACAACAATTGTGAGGATGGTGCAGGATCAGGCAGTTTTCAATTTTTTTTACAAAATGTATCTATGATTCAGAACTGATTGGACAGCTCCCAACAATAACAATAACAATATGACAGAGACACCCACTCAAACATTATTGATTTATTTACTTCAAGGAATTGGCTTATTTTGTTGTGGGGAAAATGACATCCAAAATCTGTAGGCCAGACTGTGGACTACATATACCTACAGATTTGTATCCCAAAATCCATGTTAAGTGACAGGAAATGTACAGAGTAAGGGAAGCAAGAGTTCTGCCAAAATATCTATTTGTAGTATGGATGAAGAACATATATCAAGAAGATCTTTTTTTCAACTGATTATTTTCAATTATATTAGATTACATTGTTGAAGGTCATTACAATACACTATAGAAAAGCTACTAGACTGGTGTTTAAGTAAACTGCTGAGAATCATAAATTAACAAAGTTGACATAAAATTAACCATCACCGGTATGAAATGTAACTGCTACCACACACCTTTCTCATCCTATCCATAAATGTAACCAATACATTACTGTTAAGGATTTTGTTGTGCATCTGTTCAATAATTTTAGAATCCAAATTATTTTTGAATGTTGTTATAAGCAGGACTCAGAATAAACAGCCAGAGGGTTGGTCTAATGTTTATAATCAAGTTTAATGAATTGATCTGCTGGGGCAAACCTCTATTTCTTAAGAAGAGGCACAATTACCTGCTACAATTCTTCCTAATGAAGAAATTCATCTTACCTTTTTCTCTTCGGATAATTTATAATAAATTTTCTATATTTGGAAGTGCTGTAGCTCCATAAGGTAAGCACTAGACTGTAAACCAAAAGGCTGTTGGTTCAAGCCCACTAACCACTCCGTGGGAGCAAAATGAGGCTATCTGCTCCTGCAAAGATTTAAAAATCTCAGAAACCCTACACAGGGTTGCTGTAAGTCGGAACAGACTCCAGAACACTTTCAACAATTCTATACTTAGATTTTTCTGTCTCTTTTATTTTTGAATTTAGATTGGACAGACAAAGCATTAGAGTGTGAAAGGGAAGTATGATAAACCCTCAATACTCCATGCCTGTTATTAGGATCAAATGTGTTTAAGTCTAGATTGTGGTTTATGGTGGACATTTATTGAAAGGACAGTCAAGGCTAACGACTCTATTTCCTGACTATAAAACAGAACAAAACTGGGTTAAGTCCTATTCCTTTAATGTAGTTGTTGATATGTGTTAATCAGCTAACCCAGTAAATTACACAATTATAAATAATTTCAAAATAATCTCTCCCACAGGATGCTGAGTACTCATATACCAATTTTCCTGAATTTCTTCTTTTAAGAAGTTCTTTAATTCTTCATCTGCAATGTAATACTACCATTGATGTTCGAACTGAATTTTCAGGATGCTTATCTCAAGAGTGGAAATGTTTCTTGGAAGAGAATTACCCACATTTCCTGATAGTTTCAGATGAAGGCCTGAACGACGTACAGACATACCTTTTCAACTTTTTAATGATACAGTCTTGGGCAATGAAGGTCCATGTTGTACTTTCTTCAGAGCATGCATCTCATACTGTCCGATTTTATGCATACTTTATGACAAGCAGATATGCAAACCAAGTATTTTTCAAGGAGGTAATGTGTATCTCAAAGGCAATTCTCTCTTGGGACTAACAAAAAATAAATTCTAAACAACTTGTTCAGTTTTCTTTCTTCTATGGAAATGGTCACAAGTATAACAGAATGGTGTTTAAAACAACAACAACAACAACAACAAAAAAAAAAACCTGGTAATAATTATAAAGCAGTCTTAAAAAGTGAGACCTGGTGGCACATTGGTTAAGAACTCAGCCACTAACCAAAATCAAAATATGGGTGGCTAGAACCCACAAGGCACTTTGCTTGAGAAAGATGCTGCAGTCTGCTTTCATGAAAGTTTGCAGCGTTGGAAACCCTATGGGAGCAGTTTGAGTCTGTTCTTGAGGGTTACTATGAGTAAGAACAACTTGATGGCAGTGTGCTTGTTTTTGTTGTTTTAACAGAAGTCCTTGGTATCTTCCATGAATTGATTTATTTAACCTTTTTATAACAACACTTTCAGGTTGGTATGGTTAGTAAGGTTAGTAAGATTAGTATCATGTTAGTAGGATCTGTTTTACTGATAAGGATATGGGCACTCATATAAGTAACACCCATGATCTTATAGAAACTTAAATATAAAGTTGATTTCTAAAGAGGCAGCCTGGCTGGAAAATATTGATTCCAAGGTAATGATGGTCAAATATGCATTAATCTGGAGGCAAAAAAATTAAGTCTGTTGCTTAGACACACTAGTTAAATATCTGTGGCCTTTAATGAGGAAGTAATGAATAAGATTAATTAAGAAACTAAAGAAATAGTGTTGTATTTTTAGTATGAAGTTATTTGGTAGAATTTTCAAAGTAATTTTAATTTTAGTGCTGTGATATTTTGCTATATTTATATATGATACGTTGAGGTATTGAGAATAAAGGATGCATTCTGACTTTATAAACATAATTTTTGTTTTAATTTTACTAACAGTTAACTCTATGAAGATAACTGTATCTTATCAAAATAATGTTTGCATCAATTAACATTTGTACTCTTTAAGAATTGTATGACATCCCTCGTGATGCTTGGAGGCATCCAGATGGTTGTTAAGACATACGATAAGATGGTTGGTTATTTTGATTTAGTTTGTTCTCCTAGCATTAAACTATTTGTAGCTCTGGTTGCCTAATGTGACCAGGAACAGTTCTAAGACTCATTTTAATATTGGGAGAAAATATCTTCTATTCTGTTAGAGTAGTTCTTGAATCTGAGTTTCAATAGTGCTTTACAAACATCCTGTCATATATATATATATGTATATATATATATATATACTACCAGCTGTTCCGTGGGGAAAGATGAGGCTTTCTGCTCCCATAAAGATTGACAGCCACGGAAACCCTGTACAGGGTCACTATGAGTCAGAACCGACTCCATGGCACATAACAACAACAACAAATATATAGATCTTTTTTTAAAAACTGAGGATTTTATTTTTTGATAAAATAATTTATTTCCTAGTTTATTGACTATTCACCTTAAACAGGTGATTTCATCCATCAGTTTGAAAACTATGTGATATATAGGATATATAAGAGTATGGTAACTCTGTAGGAAAAACACTGCACTGAGAACCCTAAAGTCAACAGTTCAAGCCCACCAGCCACTCTGCATGAGACAGATGAGGCTGTCTGCTCCTACAAAGATTTAAAACTTCAGAAACCCTATACAGGGTCGCTATGACAGACTTGACAGCACTTAACAACAAATGTATATCTGTCAATCTCTTTATATGTTTTTGTTGTTGTTAAGTGCCATTGAGTTGATTCTGACTAATGATGACCTTAATAGTAGGGTTTCCAAGGTACAATTGGTGGGTTTGAACTGCTGATCTTGTGGTTAGCAGTCCAGTGATTATCTTAAGGTACTATCCTATATATGTAGCTTAAATATCTGGTTTTATGCAGCTAGAAAATGGTATTTTATTTATGACAGTTGATGTGACTTTCCTCTCTTTTACAGAATGAAAGCATGATTGAAGATGCTTACAAAACCCTAATTAAACAATTAGAAGCACAAAAAGTTTTAGCATTAGCACCACTTTTTACAAATTTCACATGGACAAATCTGATGGAAGAGGTATTGAAACTTTTTAAAAACTTTTTTTTTTAAACTTTTTATTGTGAATTGAATAAAAGGTTTACAGAGAAGATCATCAGTTTTATGTTCAACAAATCCTATACTTTGTTTCATTTCCGTGATTACAATCTTCTCATGTACCATTACTGTTTCCTTAACTCTTGCTTCCTTAATTCTTCTTTCCTGTGTCCTTCCCTGCCTTCATTTTCCTTACTCACTTTTGTTGTATACTGCCTTCCCAATCATCTGCGTTAACAACAAAACCCTCTAGCTAGCCTTACCAGCCTTGCAGAACACCATTCTTTTATCATGAAAACCTTTACTTGACATTTTACCGTAGGTGTCTCATACAGTATTTGTGATTGAGTAATTTCACATAGTATAATGTCCTCCAGGTGCATCCATGTTATGAGGTATTTCACAAATTCATTATTATGTCTCAGCATTGTATAATATTCCATTGAGTATATGTAAAAAGTTTGTTTAACCATTCTTCTGTTTATGGCCATTTAAGCTATTTCCACATTTTTGCTGTTGTGAATAGTTTTGTGATGGACATGCTGTTGTTGTTAAGTGCAATAAAGTTGGTTTAACTCAAAATGACCCTGTGTAGGGTTTCTGGGGATTGGCTGGTGGGCTTGAACAGCCGACCTTAAGGTTAGCAGTCCAGTGCTTATCCTACATCATCACACCAGTACCCCATGGTACTGGTATATATCTATTTGTGTTATGACTTTTATTTCTTGAGAATAAATACTAAATAGGATTACTGGATCATATGGTGTTTTCTGCTTTTATGAAGCTTGCCATTAATGTGAGGGTAGGACTGTATATCATTGTTATTTTGAATTGCATGTCTCTAGTGAATAACGATCATGAGCATTTCTTCTTATGTCTGTTGGCCTCCTGAATGGCTTCTTTGATGAGATGTCTGTTCACATCCTCTGCCATTTTAAAATTAAATTATTTTTCTTCTTATTGAGGTATTTAAGTGTCTTATAAATTTATGATGATGAAAGGGATTATTCTCTTAATTTTATAAGAGAATAAACATTTGTCATTGCCCAAAACATTTTTCTTTGGAATTAATATTTTAGTTATTCTAAAGTTGCAAGAATAGAATTCCTATATTCCCCTCATCCATCTTTCCCTAATTTTAACTTTTTACATGACTGTGGTATATTGATCAAAATCAAGACAGTAACTTTGGTATAATACTATTAAACTTTTTTTTTAGTTAGTTGCAGTTTATCTTTAATCTCCTCCAATCTGTAACAGATTCTCAGACTTCGTGTTTTATGATCTTGATACTTACGAGAGCCTTGATCGGTTGTTTTGTCAATGTTCCTCAGTTTGGGCTTGTCTGATATTTTATTATGATTGGAATGAGGTTATGCATTTTATGTAAGAATAGCACAGGGTTTAGTGACTCATCAAGGAGTTCATAACATTAATATACCTTAATACTTAAGATATGTCAAGTAACTTTCTCCACTGTCAAGTTGCTCTTTCCCTTTATAATTCATAAGTATTTTGCAGGATATGCTGTGACTTTTTTTTCTCAATTGCCAGACTTTTTCTGCAAGAGGTACTGATGTTTTGTCTAAGGGAGATTCTCCATTTCACTCTTAATTAGAATTATACTATAGTGAAAAGCTGTCTTATTGCTCATATTTATTTATCTATATTGTATGAAATAATGACTATTCATTTTACATGATGGTTAAAAATTACTATTACTGTAAAAATGCCACCAACCATCCTTCCCAAAGCACTCTACTCAGCTGAGTTCAATAATTCATTTCATTGGCCAGACAGAACTCAGGTATCACACCCACCATTTATTACATAAGTTAACAGGTTCAGAGGTGTTCAGGATAGAATTCTTTGGTCAGGACAGATTTTCCTCTGCCATGACTGCTGATAGGCCTCTCTCTGGCCTCTTGACCTCTGCTTTGCCGGGACAGTATTACCAAAGTCTTTTACCATAGCTGATAAATACCCAACGATGTTCCATTCTGTTATAAGCCTCAGCCTCAAAGTGCTTGTTCTAGCTCCATAAGTCAGCACTCTTAGCTCTCCAATTAGGTGCCTGGAGGCACCTCACCACACGTTAGCCTTCTGCCCAAAGGCACCCAACTTAACTTTCTGGGAAGCCCACTGCTCTGCCTGGTGCTCTAGCTCAGGATTTCACTGCAGCTGTCCTTCTCTGCCAGGCCTCTGGTGTTCAGCTTTCTGTCACTGGGTTGATGAGCTTCAATGCACAGACTTCTCTAGGTCTTCTAGGTCTGAAGGAAATACCTTCTCTAGGT